TATTAATGACAATTGCATTTGCATAAACTACATAAAGTATATTAATCAATGAGAAATCCATATAAATCCAAAGCTTAATATATAAGCAGCAACCCCGATCATTAAAAAATACGCGCTTTCCCTTCTTTTGTTACAGCCTCATTCATTCCAATCAATATCATTCCTATCTATATCATTTATATCACTCTTATTGTTAGATATAAAAACAAGGCTTGTTTTGTTCTGGAACACCGCGTTGTTTAACGGTTATATATATATATATGTGCGTATATATCTATTTTATTGTTTTTGTTAAATCGAATATTACATTAAAATTGTTTTTTTATTAATATTTTATAAGAAAAAAAATGTTTTCAAACCGACTCTTTTCAACTTTACGATTACGATTGGGATCCACTTTTACCAATCGTTCTTTTTCATCCTTTCCTGCTCAACATATCGCCAACGCTCCTTCGCTTATAAAATTCTCTCCAATTCTTGCTTCAACTTCGAATTTCTTTAACAATCGTACAATCCATTCAAGTTCAAGGTTAAATAATGTGGCACCAACTGCTTATGAGGTCGATAAAGATTATTGGTCTCTAAAAACTACAATTGATGATATTCGTGCAAAATATGGATTGGGAGGTGGTACTAGAATTAAAGACCCAAATCTCGATCAAAATTCTGACTTGGACTTGGAAATTGATTTAACTGTTGCTGACATTAAAAAGATTGTTAAAATTCAACAATTATTGGAAAAGGCCGCACAAGATTTATCCTTTTTGGTTTCTGCTTCACCCCCAGAAATCTTTAGCGATCCTAATAGTATCAGAGATGATGATGTTGCTCTCAAAGCTAATGTTAAAAAAGTTTTATGGTTGGTTGAGGACGATGATATGTCCGGTAACGCTGAAGAAGCAATTAAGAGTTTCAAAGAAAACAGAGTTGCTGGTAATGTTGACATGAATGCTTATACCTTAGAAGATGGCAAAGATGAGAATCCTCATGTCGGATTTCGGCAAGACTTGTATCAATAATCTAGTTGGTAAGTTTCATGATTATATTTTTTTGGTATTGCAATTATGTAGTTTATTGTATGTATATAATATACAATATTAATTTTTTTACAATTTTTAATGTTTAGAGGGTGAAGCATTTTTTTATCATTACAGATCATAGTGGCCATATTTTTTAATAGCAATTCTAAAGAATTTATAAAATAACATGAAATGTATTCGTTTATTCTTTTTTTTCTTTTTTTTTTTTTTTTGTAAATAGCCTTTTTATCATTTTTTTTAGAACATTTTATGGGGAATGGTTTTTTTCTATGCTTTATGAACAACTCTTCTCTTTTGAACAATTGTAATAAGCTTTGGATTTATATGGATTTCTCATTGATTAATATACTTTATGTAGTTTATGCAAATGCAATTGTCATTAATA